CATCTTGAGATCTGAATTAACCACTGGTAGAGATGTCTGTATCTTTCCCTCTCCGCTGACTGTCAGAGAGCCCACAGCAGCACTGTTTGTAACTTGGACATCTCACTTGTCCACATGAGCTGGTGTGAAGGGAAGGCTTACAATAGTCATCCAACAAATACAAGCATAGGAATATCCGTGATACTCTATGCATACTTTATGTGGAACTTAAGTTTTTGGTTTTTCATAATCGTGTAAGCTGTTTGCTATAAAATTTCTAGTGACTGTGTTTTTTCCTTAAAAGAATTGCGTGTGTATATAATATATAAAACAATAGCTTTTATATCTAGGTTGTTTTGTTTGCATTGCATCACACCTATTCAAGAATTCAAATTGAAATTCTGCTTGCAAAAATACAAGATTTTATCTCTCAGCTTCTACAGCACAGTGCTCAGAATACTCACTTCAGGACTGAACCCGATAGCTTAACTTGAGTGTATTTGTATATACAATTGAGATGATGATGTTACTTTTTAAATAAGGTATAAGTGCTGTTGGTTCTAGCCAAGTGTACTTGAACTATTTAATTTTGCACTGTAAATATAAGCACTTATTTTTAAATCTGTAGACATTCTAGTCACTCCCACATATATCAAATATCATTGCTTATCAAAGCGCTTTCTTATTATTTTCTCAGAAATCTATAAAATGTTGAAATCAGGTAAAAGATTAGGAAACAAAGTAGTTGCAACGGTGAGAGGCATGAAATAGACCGTGAAGAAGATAAATTGAAAAGCTGTTCATAATAGTACAAACTAGTGGATGAAATATGGACTGTCTTTTTCTAGCATTAGCATATGTTGATAGGTCTCTTTTGAAATGCCTTTGTGTGAATATCCTTTCAGTGCTCTCATTTTTCATTAGCTGAATTTAGTAAATGGCAGTTTTCTCATGCGATAACCTCCATTTTAATTTTTTTTTTTTTTAAGGATAAAACAAAAAAGAGAAAGAAGCACAAGAAACATGGTAAAAAGAAGAAAAAGAAGACTGCTGGTTCAAATTCAGATTCAGAATAATAGAAAAACCAAGACTATCCTTTAAACAAAAGTGCAATGAGTAAAGGAAAGTTAAACTGTGAAATGATGGCAAACTTTACCAAACTGCATGAGATTTCCTGTGTCCTATAAATATTCCTAGTATTTCAGAAGCCAGCCAGATGCAGCTGTGCTGAGAAAGACCATCGTTGTTGCCTGCTGCTTAATATATGGGGTACAACTTTTATAAAATTCCAGTTAACAATGTAGTAGGTGTTTGAAACAATATGAGACAGTAGTCCAGCTGAGATGTAAAATACTGGAAAATAAAAGTCAACTTTTTAGAAACTAAAAGTAGTGTTTTAAAAAGAATTAGTAATAGTCTTAATTTGTAAATCAGGACAAATAAAATCCCAAATTCATCTTTCAGGTTACTATAGTACATAAACTATTACAAGCTGATGTCTGCTTATGGCTTTTACAAAATGGAAACTTGATGATGACATGTAAAATGCTATCTTTGTAGAAATGTTTAGCATCTGCCCCATTACCATCTTTATGCTTGTGGGAAAGGGAATGCTACCATTTTGGCTAACTGAATAGGGTGCCTTTGCCTTTGATCCTTGCAAATCTCTGCTATTTTTAATCCGTGCAGCATCTCTCATTCTAGGGAGGTCACAACTATTGTCAGCAGGCTTTTTCGGAATAAGCAGTTCTGGGCCTCTAAGCATGTGCTTCTGCATTAAGCAAAAGCAATGACCTTTTGCAGCATAACTGACGTTCAAAAACTAAAAATTTTACCTCTGCTTCTTTGAAATAGATCTGTGCTAGTAAATACGCGTATTTCATTTCATGTAATTTTGGTTTAATTGAACACACTTCTGCCAAACACTGGTTGCTTTATTTCTTTGCTTTATCTTTAGAATTGTTTTGCATGTTTTGTACCATTTTTAAATTAACAAAATACAGGTAATCATTTGTTGTAACCAGTTTTATGAACTATGTTCCACGTGCAGAGTTTCATGTATGTATTTAGTTATTCTTAAAGTTAAGTTCATTGCTGTGTTTAAATGCACACTTGCTGAAGATATTTAGCATGTAAAAAGCGGGGTTTTGATATCTAACAGCTTCATATTGAAGCTGATTTTACTCTAAGCAAGCTCAGTGGCAGACCTGTTAAGTGATGTGTCTTGTTATATAAAAAAAATACTGCCAGAATCTCATTAAAGATACTGTTTAAACATTTTGTATTTATATTTTTGTACTTGAGGGCTACAGAATGTTTACCTAAGTCATAATGCTATTTTACTTTAAATAAGTTCCTTTAGAAATTAAAAAAGCTTTTAAATCAAATGTGCACACATGAAAGCACAAGCAATCATTGGATTTTAGTTTTTACATGAAGTTCTCATCGTCTTCCATTGAAGTACTCATTGCTGGGCCTCCTGTGCCCACAGCTGCTCTTCTATTCAGAGTGCTAAACTACAGGATTGTCCTCATGATCCGCCTCTGTTTCATTGTACAAGTGCTAACTGCTAACTTACCTCTGTTGCATACAGATGTTTCAAATATATTATTTCAAGACCAAGAATTTCAAGACCTTAATTAACTATTAGTCTGCCAACCATAACGAAAAACTGGGCAAAAAAGATAGTTAGTATTGCCATTCTACAGTGAAACTGACTCTTCAAGTAAGCTTTTAGAAAAATACAAACTTTGACTTGCAGCAATGACTTTCTGTCCCTAGTCCTTAAAACTATTTTCATCAAATATTTTATACAGTTGGGCTTGATGTTACTGATTTTGGAGACTGTTACATTGTTGAGGTTAAAATAAAGGCAAGATGCAGTGAACAGTAGGGCTTTGATTTGAGGTTTGTTTTTGTCCTAAGTTGTGGAGTTGCAGTTTTGGTGAGAGGAACTTGTAATGAACCATATGATAGATACATGCTCTACTCTGTGTGATGCCTTATTTGACTTCTATACAACTACCTGCGTCAGAAAGAAATAAAAATGGAAATGAGTGCCCCAGTCTTCCAAATGCATAAGCAGGTATGTAATTTTAATCATCTAAATATAACTGTTTGTTCCTGTCTGTCTGTGTAATGTGTCTAGTCAAATACCGTTGTAACGCTTGGGAAGTGGTATAGTTACTTAAGGAGCATACAAGCTTTGTCAGTCCGCAGCAAAGCTGCTTTAATATTGACAGTGAAAAATAGTTCAGTTTTCAATGCATTAACAAATATATTGTGAATCCTCTTGCATTCTTTTTTTTTTCTTGAAGGAAGAGTAAAGTCTGATCAAACCAAGAAAGCTGAAATGCTTTGTGTATGCTGAGTATACGAGAAGGTAGCATTGGTGGCGAGTGAAGGCAGAGCTCTCTGCTAGTTTTCCATTTGCTTTGTGATCACTGATTCTGTGCAAAGAAATCTGTACTAGTGGGGGGGGGGGGCTGGTGCTTTTGGTTTGGATTCTTGGGGGAGGAAAGCAGAGGAACAGCGCAGCATAAGAAAAATCGGCAATCTAAAACTTGTCAGTACACTAGAAAGTAGGAAAAAAACTAAAGGTACAGGACACCTAGATGAATGCTTTAAGTCTGAGCAGTGGGGGAAAGTAGAAAATGAACAATGTGGATATAAAGATATTTTAACAGATTTATGGCTACCAACAGCTGATGAACAAATAGTATTTTATGTAGTATTTAATTTTTTGGCTTCTTTATCCGGAAACATTTTTAGAATTGTGAAGTTCCATTAGCTTCTTTTATACTTTTATTCTTTCACCTGTGATAAATATTTTCCGTGGTTTTGCCTATGTACATATTTGTACATTCAGCTGTGGGGTGTTTGGTCCAGTCTTAATCACTGATCCCTTTTAACAGTTCTGGTCTATTCGGGGTGAGCAGAGGGTATTTTAACTACCTGAAACAAGGCTTTTTAGACGCAGCTTTCTCGGCAGGTTTGTGCTGCCCTCGCTGGCCGCGTGGGACTCTGCCTTCTGTCATTTGATTCCCGTCCTGTTTCAGGACACATGACCTTCTGACTGTTCTTAATAAGTAATAAACATTATAGCACCAAAGATATAATATGGTCAATGATTCCTAATCCAATTTATACGATGACTCCAAATAATGTCTGACTGGTTCAAAAGTGGGTAATGAGGAAAATTTGTTTAAAATCTTAATTTATAGTTCCACAAAAATGGTTTTAAACGTTTTTGTAAAGATAATTATAAAATTATTGAGATGGCAGGCAGATCAATGTTACATATTTATATTAAAGCCTCAATTGAGAGTATAGTTATTTTTCCCAGTCCTGTTATAGCATGCTAATAGTTAGGATCTTTCAAAGAAAACTTAATTAAATAGTTTCCTTGGTGCACTATGTTAAGCATTGAAACAACTAGTGTGATATAAATAATTTTATAACGTCTGTCGTGGCTGGGTCCCCGTGGCTCCCCTGTCCCTGTGACTTATTTCCCGCAGCTTCGGGTGCGAAATCTTTTTGCTTGTGTTTTGGCTGGGCAGTTAATAGAAATGAAGTGGAAAGTCTCATCAAGCTCTTTCACACGTTGGCGGCTGAGTCCAGGGATCGATTTGCTGCAGCTGGCATAGATCGTAACATGTTCAGGAACATTCTGCACTGCACGTTTGGCATGACGGATGACATGATTATGGACAGAGGTGAGGGTCATAGGTTTAAAGGGTTGTGAGGTTTGTGGGTTGGTTGGTTTGGTTTTTTGTAATTTTTGGGCAACAATTTTCAAACAGTGATTTTCAGAACACTTCCTGTGGAGACTTACCAGGTCAACTGATACTAGTTCCTATTTAGTTTCTTGCTCCTGCAAGAATACTGGATCCTTATTACTGACAAGATGCCTTTGATGGCTGCAGAAAAAGTTGACGGGACAGAAAATTTACATGTGAGGCATTGCTACATTAGCTCTAGGTTATTGCCCAGTTACGAGTTTCGTTGGTAAAGAGATAAAGTGCCCAATTTGCAAGCGTCCAAATGGTCCAGGGTGAGGGGCATGGAAATTGGTACATTGTTGACCAGAGTAAAGAATAGGAAGCTTTTTGGAGGCCGGCAGATGAGCATGCCTAGATAAAGTTGCGTCCTCTTTTATCCCAGTCATCCTTAGTGTCATGACAGAAGAGGGCACCATGGTGTCGCTTCTCTTTTTTTTTTCCCCTGTGATTCCACAGGGAGGCCTAGTTATTGCTGCCAGTCGATAGCTCTGTTCCAAACTTGAAGGTCCCAGAAAGGGGCTGTATTACTAGCTTCTGGAAGAGAGGTGCTGTGACTAGCACTGAAGGTACTGGTCAGACCATAGAGCTAGATGAAAACAGTGAGCCAACATTAACGCTTTAAAGTATATTGTCTTCAAAGATGCATAAAATACATTTGCAGGTGCTGTAGAAGTAGCACAAACAGTCTCTAAGGTGAAGGCACTTATCTAGCAGAGGTTATGGAGGAGGCGTGAGTGTGCCATCCCCTTCAGTCTCGTGCCAAGAAGGGCCACCACTTGGTTCAGCTCTCTTTTCTCTAGCAAGAGATGTGTTTAAATGAGAATGCCATTTTATGCAGCAAGTCAAGTATCCCTTGGAAAAAATGTTACATGGAACTCATTCTTAAAAATTATTGTAATGCTTGCATATAAAGGGGGCTGATTTAAGATTGCAAAGGCAAACCTATTATTTTCCAGTTCCACGTTCTAGTTCCCATGTGCACAGTATTTCAGCTTTCTGTGTACAGGTGGTCCTGTAGTCAACTTCCTAATTAACATTTTAGGAGGTTAATTAGTAATTGATGTTAACTGATGTTTTTGCATTATATCTTGGATTTGAATTACTGTGTTACAGGCTGTACTGATAATGAAGTTGCAAGGTTACGTTTCTTATTACAGGAAAGGGAGAAGAAAAAAGACTTTAGTATGTGCGAGACAGAAGGTTATCTTTCTTGGTATATTTGAAATGAATGTGCACTATTTGTAAGATTACTTTCTCCAAGATTTTCTGAAACAAAACCTGGTAATTTGAATCCTCTACTATATGCAAATATGTCCTAACATAGGCTATTTGGTTTATGCCTGTATGAAAGCGTGCTTCCTGTAGTTGTATAAGTCAGGAAAGCAGCCAGTCAAACAAAATGGCTTATTCCAGCAAGACTATGGAGTGGGAGATCAGTGGACCGAGCGGTAGTCTCCCTTTCATTGTTATGGCTTAGAAGGATGCAGGAAGGATAATCATATTGTGATGAAAGCAAAGAAATATCTTCAAACAAAACCGTGCTCCTATTTTTGCTCAATTTGTGAAAATACTGCTTTGTGTTTCTCTGCTATATAAATTAAAAATTTATCTGATACACTTCTCAGTATTCCGTACTTTTGATAAAGACAACGACAGCTGCATCAGTGTGATAGAATGGGTGGAAGGCTTATCCATATTTCTTCGGGGGACATTAGAAGAAAAAATGAAATGTAAGGTTTCTCTGCATGCAACTATTTAGTAGTAATCGTTGAAGCTATGACCATCGAATTGTACGTCACGTTAATCATTAGTTTGTTATTTACTCTTCCCTTGTAAAGTATTTGGTAATTCAGGAGTTTTCCTCTGTAGTTCAGTGCCATAGAACTGAGTTCTGAAATGGCTTCTCTGAGACTGATGTGTATAAACTGCTGTTATTATAGCTGCCACCTTAATTTGCCAGTGACAAAGCAAACCTGTCTTTTGAACTGAAGCTAGTTTGACAGTATATAGTTTTGACAAAATGTATCTTTCCATATTCACACACAAATTAGAAGTAGGTGTAACTTAAAAGCTGGTGTTGGATGAGTAATACAATCTCCTCAAGCCAACAGAGACCCATACCCATGTTCAGTCACTGGAAGAGGACACCCGAGCAGTTGCATTTATTGTAGCAGCTCCTCAGCTTGGAAGCATAGATGTAAAAACTGTGGTTGTAGTCACCAGTCTGTGCTCCCAGGGAGGAAGAAACACATTGAAAGAAGAGAAATTGTGAAGCTGCTCATACTGGAACTGTTCTCTTACAGAGATTTTCTCTTTGCGTTAAAGGATACTTCAGCTGTCCTTTGTGTGCTAGCACAGCTCGTTCTTCTCTTCCCTCTACCTTTCTACCAGAGGGTCTTCCTTTCTACCAGAACCCAGCTTCTGAACTAACTAGGATGCATTTTGTAGGTTCAGAGCTCTTCCAATATAAACAGTTTATCCCACCCATGGGAAATCAGGCTTCTAAACTAGAACCTTTACTTAGATTATAAGTAGCTACTCCTAAAGAAGTTAAGATCTGGAAGTCATTATGTTTTATGTAAAGTGAAGATTGTATATTAGATTACATATCTGAGCAGATATAGCTTTTAACTCTGAAGGCTAGGTAGGCAATTGACCTTCCTACCAGTAGGTCAGTTGACCAGTATTGGTCAACCATTATTTGACCAGTATTGAAATATGATACATATTTTTGATATAAATATTACATATGGTGAACATGACTGAAAATCTATGGTGTAAAGCAGAACTTATATTTTCTGTCTAGTTAACACATAGCTTTAATGGTGAATGATATAGTTTGTAAGAAATATTAATTGAGTTATCTTTTGAAAAGACTGTTTTGAAGTTTATGATCTGAATGGAGATGGATACATTTCACGAGAGGAAATGTTTCATATGCTGAAAAACAGCCTGCTCAAACAGCCATCAGAAGAAGATCCTGATGAGGGAATTAAGGACTTGGTAGAAATAACACTGAAGAAAATGGTAAATAATTTCCCATTGTGGTACTTGAGCGTCTTTCAGGTGTCTGCTAACTGAACCTTAGAGCATTCCTCTGAGGTAAAAAATTCTGTTACTGTTTTACAGTGGGATTCTGAGGCACAGAGCTGGTTTTGTACTTGAGATAAACCAGTCTTCTAAGGAAAGCCAGAAATGTAATCCACATCTAAAGAGTCCGAGTCAGGTATCCTAACACAAAACTACTAGTTTATTATGTCAATGTATTATAAACTTTATGTATGCAGTAGCACACAGATGTGCATGTGTGTGCATACACACATGTATGCCCCGTCAAAGCGAAAGCAGACAATTCAAAAGCATAATCTGTATTCATTCCGATGTTAGGCTTCTCCAGTAACTTTATTATTAAGTAAACTTGTATTTTATCAGTTGATCATGAAAAGCATTTCTGCAGTTTATACATTCTATTAGAATAGCAACCTCAGGGGTTATTCATGTAAAACTTGTCTCATGATTAATCTACCCAAATTGGCCAGGAACTGTATTTCAGCTTTTTCATGGACTTTAGGAACATCCCCCTCCCTCCTATTACACTGCTCAAAAATCTCTCTTCACATCAGCTCTCCAATCCCAGATGTTTTTATTTAACCCCATCTTTCTTATTTCCCGAGCCCATCATCCCTTTTGTACACCCTCAGCTGACCCACAGCGCTTACCCTTAGTTCTTCACAGGGCTGAGTCCACTGTCTCATAAAGAAAGCAAGTTGTCACTCAGCAATTTGCTAATCTTTGGCCGCCTGCACGCTCAGCTTTCCTAGACTGCATCCAGAATGAACACTCTCATGTTCTGGGCAGTTGGTAAATGAGTTCAAGCCTGAGCTGTATCCTCTAGACCTCATGAAATCCTCATACACATAAGAACATATAATAAGTTAAACGTGTACTCCTATATCAGCTTTTCCACAGGAGCCTGAGAAACCACTAAAGAATGTCCAGACCTGATCTGGCTGCTGGACAGTTGTCTGAGTAGGCTATTACGGCCCACCTCAAATAACTAAACAACTACTAGTTAGATATCCAGAAAGGAATCTACGTGGAGTCCATCACTCAACAAAGATAAAAAAGTTGGTTTTGAGCAATAGGCTGTAGGTACAATTTCACCATGATAAAATATGTCTAATTCCATGAAAAGAGACGATTTTCATACTGTGAGTATTTGCAATGAGCAAGGCAAGCCTGTGCGCTGCTCTTCCCTGTGCTGAGAAGTGTATAAGGTAGAGCATACCCAGGCATGTCTCAGTTTCTGTTAAACAGCCAGTGGCAGGCTTTCCTGTTGAGGAATCTCTCTACCTACATAGCAGCTTGCCTCTGGTTTTCTGGCATTAGAATGTGTGCTCCTTGCATGTTATTTACCAGCTATGATAGTTCCATGGCCTGATTTGCAAAACTTACAGTTGGTTCTGTGCCTTGTACACTGAACCTCCCCATGTAGCTTCACCTAAAGCCTTAATTCTAGAGGGTTTAGAAAAGTCCAATCACTATAACTTCAGTCAATAGTTTAAGCCTCTGCATCCATAGAAACAGGAGGTTTTCAAGTTGCAGAAATACTAAAAACACAAGGATTTTTTCCCCCTAGAGGAATATTCTGCTGAGATTCTGCAGTAAAAATGAAGGGGGCTGGAATCAGCATACACCACCATCTCCAGTCTCGTGAACAGGGTGCAGGTAGACTCATAATTTAAATATACAGGATATATGCTACAAACATAGAAAAAGTAGTAGAAGTTTAAGTTCCTCATTTTTAGCTCAGTGTAATGGTGCCTGAGATCTGGCTACGCGATTCTCAGCTCAGCCTCTTCCCAGTGTCAAGTTTTGCCTTCTCTGCAATTCCATTAGTAAAGACATAAGAGACAGTTGCACTTCTACTTTTTATGCCTTACACAGAGGCAAATTATGCAGATCTGTGAGTGGAAACTGTTTGCCAAAGTACATTAATACATTCTTGGTACATTCAAACCAAGAAGAGAATCCATGTGAATAATGTCTATTTAAAAAAATAAAGCTACTAAAGTAACCACCCTTTGCTAAAGCGTCCTCCTCCTTTTGTAGGACTATGATCACGATGGCAAGCTTTCTTTTGTGGACTTTGAAAAAGCTGTCAGAGATGAAAATCTTCTCCTGGAAGCCTTTGGACCGTGTTTGCCAGACATAAAGGTAATCAGCTTTGAGTTTAAAAGAATATGCAAATAGCTTCTCTGTCACTGTTAAAGAGATGTATGTATCTTGGCATTAGGTGTCATTACATGGGGCCTCCTGAATTCAACTGGTAACTTGCTCCAGCTGAGATATGCATATGCCAAATTCATATCTACCTTTTACAGGCACAGATGCTTCCTTCAACAGTCAAAAACTGATACCAGAGGATGTAAGAAGAACACATTGTTATGCAGTACTTGTTGCTATTGACTATTGCTGTCCTAGGACAGCAGTATAACGAATGATCCTAAATAAGCACCCTCTGAAAATAAAAAAAAAAAGCTAGACTATTCTCTTGAAGAGTTTATCTGAAAGCTCTTCAGAAATGCAACTTTTATTCTTCTTTCTTCAATGTCACTTGCAATACTGCCATCACCTCACTTTCAGCCTCTTGAGGTAGACACTGGTGTAACTTTCTGAAAAAATTACCTTGACGCTGTTCTGCCTCAGAGCGCGACTTTGCCATCTGTAAATTCCATCCAACTGTGCTTTATTTATTAGCAATACATCTAGTCCGATTCTGAGGTAACCCTTTTTTGAAAGACGCTAGTTTAGGACACGTTCATTTCCTCAGTATTAAGTCAAATTGGTTAAAAATGAAGAGTTTTTCTGCTCTTTTCTGAGAGTAACTTTTTCTTAAATCTGGCCACCATTACTCTATTTGAACTGCATTTCAGTTTTAAATACCGTAAGTTGTGCCTTAATAGAGATGAAAAAAATTTGAAATACATGCAATGATTTGTAGAAACAGAAAAGTCCTGAGAGACTGTTGAAAACAAGGTAAGTTTTCCCTTTGATAGAAACCTACATTTCCTGCCAGCTCCCCTGTCTGGCAG